GTTAGACCAGTCTTACCTTGCATATCTCTAATTAAATAGTTAAAATTGTAAAACACACCAGCAAGTGCACAACAAACAAGCTCTATCCCAGAAATTCCCATAACAATGACCTGCAATGCCTTTTTCAACATGATTGTATTAAAAAAACATGTATATTCACCTCCATAGACACTTCTACTGTAAAGCATAAAGCATCAAACATTCAAGAGCACTGTCATGGCCATTACTATCGACTCACCTTATTTATACCATCATCTCTAAACAACCACAGTTAAACGTTTCAGGATTTTCTAATGTATGCCGCTCCTAGTAACTTAAAGAAAATTTTGGTACTTTCAAACTATGAGGCAGAGAGTATACCTTGGTTCTGTGGTCAGTCTGTTCAAGCAGATTTGTTGAAAAACATAAGCTCGTGCTCACTTCCACTTGCCTACATATTTAAGGCTCGGACCCAGACTTCCCTTTGCATGTCTTTTTTGCATCCCTCATCCCTATCTACACCTCCGCAGCAGCTCCCTAGCTCATTCCTTGCAATAGTGTGGGGGGGTTGAGCAGCCCTATCCTCATGACTAGGCTCAGCTAGGCAAGACACCAAACACTCTCTACACTTTTCATTTCTCTATCGCATTTGTTAGGATCTAAGTAGACTACTGAAATTCATTGTAGGGAATGGGCATAGATTAAGAAAGCAAAGTAAGAACTTGACAGGTGGAAAGACTGCGAACAATTGAGAGGTACAATTCACACTCATGATCAAATGACTGTTCACACAAACATTTACTCTGGAGTCTTAATAGAACATGGAGTGATTACTTGAACCTCTCTGCAATTGTTTGAAATTGAAAAGGTGCTGAAACTAGAAGTGCATATTTTTAGCAAGAAATTTAAGAATGTTAAAATTAGACCAAGTCAGGACCTGACACTGTAGTTGTATTATGAAACATCTGGGAAGCCACATCAAGTATTCTACAAACAGTAAATAAAAGAAAACTACAGTTAATATTGGTATTGTTGTTTGTTGTTGCTGAATGACCACAAGGCTCTGATTATGAAGAATGATTGTTTTCTGACTAAAATAATGCCTCAAACATAACTGCCTTCCCATAGGTTTCATGCTGAGTAATTACCTATTCCAGTTTAAACGGTGAGGATTCCGAAAAAAAAGTGCAATCAAGCAATTAATGACTCTGCTTTTCTTGTTTGTTTGCAAAAAACTTTTCCACCAGAAATGGTGTTCTTGGAATTACCTAAGATAGAAATCAGACAACACAGAAAAGAGATTACATACCTGCATGCTTCATTAATCTTGCATACACACCAACTGAAATCATTACCAATGAAATTATCTGTAGGAGAGAAATAAAAAGGAACTGCATTTGTTTTCTCCGCAAAAATATCTAAGGAAATACAGGAAATGAATAACAGACATGGCTTAAAAACACAGAGACAGTGTAAGAGCTCTTTGACATCAGTCTTTGTCTTCATTGCCATATTTAAAAACCATAATGAAGGCCTTGCATCATCCTCCTGTGTCAATATGTCTGAGTACATACTACAGATCATCTATTATTCCTAGATGACCTAATTTGAACACTATTTCTATTTGGAAATCTAGGGGCAAATTTAAACAGATTATTTAGCATTCTTTATAGATTATAAAGCACTAAGCACTCCTTCCTCCATGTATCAGTTTTCAAGTTATTGCCATTCTCAATATTATTACCACTCTTGATGTTAGCTGTATGAACTCAATTGATTCATCAGGGGTTATGCTGGTATTGGTTTATCCTCCTTTATCTAGATTCATGCAGTGATGCAGTGCACAGACATAATTTCGTAAAAAAAAGTGTTAAGAGCTTCTTCCAGAGACTTCTGCGGTGCAGTCACTTGACTAATCCAGGTCAGAGTGGGTTCATTTAAATTACCCACAGCTAACTGCTACAGTAGATGTGCACCTTAGTCAATACTTTTTTAAAAAAGGTACCTATTCTCAGGTAGTGTAATTTACTATAAAAATCTGTTGGGTCCTTATCACAATAATTGCATCATGATAAAAATACTAAACTTAGTTTAAATTAATACTTCACCTCACAATGTAAATGCGATGCCAAGTTCAAAACATTCTATGCATCCTGAAAGAGTATCTCATGAGCCTCTGAGATTCAAACACCCCACAATCACAAAATGAGTTGCAATGTGGGGTTTAATTTCTCATTTGGCTTTTGCTATCTGGCAGAAAATGATCACGCAGTTGTCAGTCATGTGGTTCATGCTATGGGAAAGAGCATAAGCTGAACTAGTGTGAACCTGACTGCCCTGTGGAACAGCCCCCACACACTACATCTGCAGCTCCCACAAAGAAGCAGATCTCTTTGCAGTGCGGAAACAAGAGGAAAAGCCAGGGAAAAAAGCCTGTCACCTAAGAGACAGAATGGAAAGATACATTCCATGTGCCCTTTCATAACTAGATACCTCACTGAAACATATTTCCACAGCTGGTCAGATCATTGACCATTTCTTGGGTAGAGTACAGTAGGCAGAGAATTTCAGCAGGCATTAACAAATACTAACTTCACTAGATTAATGTGTCAGCAGATATGAATTCTCTTGGAAGCTCTGCAAGAAGCAAGTAAAAAGAGTGAATGTCTCTGGGGCTAATCTATATGACTGAGTGAAGACTTTTAAGTATGTAAAAATGTAATATGTCACTTAAATCATATCTTCAAGAAACAAAAGTTACAAATAATCTCCTTCAGAGGAACCTTCTGTCATTTTCCCCGAAAACCAGAAACCACTTCAAGCTGGAGTTCAGTTCTAATTAATACATTTCCAAAAATAACTGGAACTGCAGGAAAATATAAGATAATAACTGGGGATAAATTTCAGGATGTACACTGTATCGCAAGTTCTAAATACACATTTATCCCCAGAAGACACTTACTGTACAAACCTCAATGTAGGTATTGTATTGTTTGTATTGTAAAGGTATTGTTTGTACTTAATGCTTGCATCACATGCCTAGACTAAAAGGCAGGGCGATTGGTTTAAATCAAAAGGTAACAGGAACTTCAGAATTAAATACCTTATATTTCAAGAACGAGTGGTTTAGATAAAAAAAAATACAGCGGCCTACTTTCACCTGCAAGCTTAGTGTACCTACAGTACACATAAGGGCACTTTTATGGTATCAAAAGCAGCAGCAGCAGCACTGGTTTTAACAGATCCATAACGTGTTGGAGAAATTGTTCCCACTTCCCCTTAAAAGACAGTCAAGAGTCGGTCTCAAAAGTTAAAAGAAGGTTTTATTTCATGCGCATGGGAGTGAAACACACAGAGAGTGAAACACACAGAGATGCTCTGTGTATTTTTCTTAAAGTAATTAAATCTATCACACTTCCCTGTGTTTATCAGATTGGCAGTGTTCCAAAACCACACACATCTTCCTAATTCCCTATTTGCTAAAGATATAGAATTACATAGTAGCCCTTGTGTCCAGCATTCTTCCAATCCAGTTCAAACCAGTTCTAAATTTCCACCTTATAAAATATTGCAGCAGAAAAAGTGTGCACAAAAGACATAAAGACCCACTCAACAGATGTAGAGAATTAGAACTGAGGATTTACTGTCTTTTCAGAATAAGTTTACTAAATCTTTGTGTCATTGACTCTCCAGTGTTCTCACACTTGTGGAAAGCAGATGACTTGTATAGATGCACCATACCATGGGAAAACAGAAGCATCCAGGAATCTGGAAATCATGTACTGTAATTTCAGACCAAACCAAAGTTTACTCACTAGTAACTAGCAGGATTTCTGGTTTCAGGGTATTCATTAAATTGCTGTGATGTGAGGCTCTCGATCAATGGCTCCCAAATCCGTTCCATTGGGCTCCCCTTCTCAGATGGTTCTTGTTTTAGTGGAGTTCTGAATCTCAGCTAATTGATTTCAGTTTTCTGTTTGAGGTAAAAAGTTACATTTGCCTTTAGTTCTTAAAACACTGAAAGTGATTGATAACTGGTATCAAGTCATTATTTTCTGAGTTTCAGAACTCCCCTCATTCAGGCCTGCTTAACTGAAATCTAACCAACCAGCTCACTAAAGTAGGGAACATTTGTTTGATACATTAAAATTCCCACCTGAGTCTGTTCATTACAAAATGTTCACCTATTAAGGTTTTATTTAGACAAAAATAAGGCAGCAATGTCTTAAAAGTTGAGGAGACTTCAAACATTTCTGTATTTTGATGCTGTTGTAACAATACGCTCAGTCAGCTATTTCTGAAATCAAGATCATTTAAGACATCTAAACAAGAAAGCAGATCAGTTAAAGGTGTAACATTAATGACAAGCACAGTTGGAATGAAAACCAGCAGACACAGTGGTCCCCAAGGACCAGAGAAAATAGACTTCTGCACTCGCCATTTATACCAGGCAGACCATGAATCACTGAAAAGAACCTTTGAATACAGGAAGGAAATATGGATGAACTCGACAATCAAGACACAGAACTGATATTCAGGTCTGGTCCTGAAGGTCCATTGTGTTTTCTGGTTTTTATTCCAACCTGAACTCTTAATGACTCCACTGGAACAAGTTGTTCACTTAATTAGTCTCTCTCACCACTGCTTCCAGGTCTCCCTCACTCACACTTCCAACTTACCTACAAATCCTGATGGAAAACAGCCCTCCAGCACCAGAGCTGAACATCACCGATAATAAGGATTCATGACCGTGAGATATCAGCATTTTTTTCTCTATCAAGTTGCATTTGTCTTTGGGAAGAATGTCTTTCAAAACTTTAAAAATACCCTAAACAGTGGTGTTGCGCCATTGAGTAAAAACTCAAGAGACTGTGAATTTTGTCAGGAAGAGTGTGAAACAACACAGTAAAAAGTGCTAGGATAAAGCAATCTTCTCTTGAGTAAAAAAGGGTTCCATTGTTCTTTTGCAAATGTAAAGTGTACTCCAAGAACCACCTGTAATTTTTTAACTTTATAAATTGCATCTGCTCTGAACCTGTATGTTCCAATGTGAACAGTTAATCTTTTTCTAAAAGAATTTATTTATCAAAAATAAATTAACAAAACAAATACTGCTTTATAGAAAGCCAATCACAATTCAGTTTGCTTGGAACCTGTAACCTGGCATTACAATTTCCTGCCTGGACAAGGTACCATTTCAGAAAAAATACAATGGACCGTTCAATTAAAGGATTTTCTGAATCAATAGTGTGTGCTTACTTGTCATGAACTGTTCCCCATCATCGTTTGCTTGCCTAATTTGATCTGAAAGTTTAGAAACAAATTTGACCAGAACCATCCATCCATGTTCTAACTGCTTCATCCAATTCAAGGCTGTGAGCAAGGGGGCATGCTCCCTCTTTTACCATAACCTTTGAAAATCCATCGCATCTCAAGTCCAGAATCCGTTAGAAAATCCCTCGACTTGCTCACACATGTAGCAGAAACTGTCTTTTTGAAAAACCATTCAATTGTTTTTGATTGTGCAAAGCCAAACCTATTAGGCCTGTAAAGGTAAACCCATGTCTGAACTAGACGGTATCAAACCCTGGGGCCATTTGCCCAGTTACACAGTGACTTACTAATTAGCTATTGCAACAAGTGAGCAGTTAAAAAAATAATCCATGGGTTAAGAACATAAAAATATGAAAAACAATCTCGAAGAGTGGAAGACGTAAATGCCTGTCCTTTCCAAGGAACATGTGTGAACAGGATGATACTGCCCATGGCCTATTAAAGGCAGTGCAACATCAGTCATACAGCTGTCATCCCCTTACGTGCATGATGACTAACTGAAGAGAGACACAACCGGAACATTCCTGATTTTCACCAGTTGTTTGTACCAGACGTTCCTCAATGGGCAGCCAAAGAGTCCGTTACCCTGAATGGGCACAATCAAAGTAATCATGTGAAATCTTTGTCCATTCTCAGATTCATAGAGCATACGATCAACTTTAAACCTTTGCAGACAGATGTACTTGAGTTGCACTATCTACGATGGATAAATTATTAACAGCTGGTACACAAAAGGTTAACAGAAAAAGAAACATCTTGCTAGGACCAAAAAAAAGCCAATTGGGTATTCTCAAAAGGTGTTGCCTGACCAGGTGGAAACTATGTAGAAAGTACCAGAAGTGCCAGAACGGGAGGCACGTCTCTACCCAAATGGTTGTTGCAGTATGGAACATGCCACCCAGCCATATTGTTGAAGATGATCCTTGGATCATTTAACTACCAAATGGGCTAAATGGACTGAGAGACCTACTCTCTTTTGTAATCTCACTTATGTTCTAGTGTTTCTGTAACAATAAGGCTGGGACAATAATAG